GTAGCCTTTAAGCATTTGTCCATTCTCTTTGAATGCCCTACAGCTTGTAAGAGCTTTAATATATGTAGCACAAAAAAAAAATAATTTTTTACAATATTAAGTGGCCCCGACCACCTGGACTTAGGTTTTCTAGGAAATAGTTTCAGTCAAGTATTGTACAATAAAGCCTCTTATCCTGCCCTAAATTATTTCTTAAGAATCTTTCAATCATGCAATTTTTTTTATTTTCTCTTTATAAATTATCACATTTTCATGAGAATATTGTCTAATTTCATTGAGTTCATTTAACTGAAACAATCTTTACTCACTAGGTTCCTTCATATTATAATTGAATTCCTTAACAACCTTAAAAGCTTTATGTTCTAGTTCAACTGGTGAGTGACAAGCTTTTCCAATTATGATTCTATATGAAGAGATTCTCATATGAGTTTTGTATGCAGTCCTATAAGCCCATAATACTTTATCTAATCTCATAGACCAATCCTTTCTACTAGGTTTGACAATTTTTTTCTAAAATCGATTTGATTTCCCTATTAGATACTTATGCTAAACCACTCATTTGAAGATGATAACCGGTGGCTATCCTGTGCTTACTTCAATACTTAATAAATAATGTCTCAATTTTTGTTTTCTTATAGTGGCTTCTCTCATCACTAATGATCACTATAGGCATGTCGAGTTTACTATAGATATTCTTCATTAAAAATTTAGTGACAATTTGAGCATCACAATTCGGAACAGCTACCGCCTGAATCCATTTTGAGAAATTATCCATACATATTAAAATATACAAATTTCCTAACAATCGTATAAAGCCCAAACATAAAAAATGCAATCTCCATCGTAAAAGTTAGGGGCCTTTCATCTCACTTAAAAATATTGCCCACTCTCTCACATTTGTCATAGCTTTTAATATATATATTTGATCAACCTTAAAATTAACTATTTTTAGTGTACATTAACTGTTTATTTTTTTTATATTTGTGATGATACTGCACTTTAAAGGAAGTTATTTTGCATGTTTTTTATTACAGGTGCAAGAAATGGAGTTTTAGCAAAAATGGTGCAATTTAGAGTTAAATTGAGCTAGAAAGAAAATTATGATCGGGTGCATTTTGATATGACTTTCTATGCTTAATCACCTCTATATTTATCACTTGTTTTTGAATGAAATTACACTTTAAAGAAAGGTTTTTTTCATGTTTATCTTGTAGGTAAAACACTAAGAGCGAACCAGAGCTGAAACGGGGCGAAAAGGAGGAAATTGGGTGTGTTGCCCGTAGGGTGGTTCTATATCGCCTAGACTAATGCCATAGCGCCAGTCACGGCTAGAAACAGGTGCTATAACACTGATTCTGGTGTTATAGCACTCGAGACAGTTTTTGGATGGCTTTTGGGCAATTTTGTATCATTCTAGGATGTTCTAGAAGTTTTTGGGTGATTATGCACGCCCCAAGATGATATTAAATGAATCTATATGCATTTGAATGAAGAGATGTGTCTCTTGGAGTGAAAGGATGTGTCTCTTAGATTAAAGGGGTGTGTTTTTTAGAAAAAGGAGGTGTTAGACTTCTCTTTAAAAAGAGGGTGTTGGTGCTTCTCATGACAAGTAATTAAGAGAGTCTAGAGAAGTAATTAAGAAGTGTTTTAGGAGGATTTTGGCATGAGTTTATGGTGATGTAGACTTCTCCATTTTCTGGAAAGATTGGTGAGGAATTTTAAGATATATGAGTAAGGATGTATGAGTGGAGCATGAATCAACAGGATACTTAGTGGAGAGATTTTTCATTTTCTTTCAGAGGGAAAAAACTAAGTATTGTATTCTTTATTAACTTATAATTGTTGTAAATATTTTATAGTGGATTTTCATTGATTTAAATGAAGTTTTATTTTGGGTTTTATTCATGCTTTGTAAGTAGTTTTATTTACTTTTTTTCTTTTAATATAAAGTAGTGGCATGTGTAGAAAAATTTGTTTCATGGTAGAGTTATTCTTACTTTCATATGATGAGTAATATCTCCTTTTCTTTATTGACATAACTTAAGTGGCAATGGGTTTGGCTAAAATTTATTGTAAGTGAAACTAAGACTTGGGAGAGCAGTGATCTTTCAACTTGAGTGCACTCACATTGACCGGTTGGCTAGTAAAATAGTTTAGGCATCAATGCAGCTCTTAAGGAAATATAATTTAATGATTTGTTTCTATTTGGAGCTTCTAGGTGAGAGATAGTTGCAGAAAACTAATAGAATACTAAGCGTACCTATACACTCAAAAGAGAGAAGGAAGATATATGTTCCTTGATGGCACATAATTTATTACTTAATTTTATCAATCTTTTTACTAATTATTCCATTATCATCATTTTTCTTTTCCTTTACAATTAAATAAAAGAAGTTTAGAAATTTAGATTTGCTTAAATTATCTCTTATTTAATTAATGTGGTTGTATTTTCATCAGATCTTCATTAATTTTACAAACTGGTCATTTGTATTGTTAAACTCCGTTGAAAAATATAATGAGCAGAGATGGCTATGATTTCACCAATTAGTGAGTACCAAATTTCATCTTGGACAGAGCCGTTGCAATCACTCGAAATGAGTGCAAATAGATAAGGAGATAAGTTTTGACAGGCGTAGAATTGATGTTTCTAGGGTGACATACTATATTCTTTTATCAATTTGGTTTAGAGTTTTGATCGTAAGGGTTTCTAGTAGGTTCTATGGAGAGAGCACAGTGGGTACTCTGGAAGTGAGAGGTCAGAATCTACTCAGCATTACTACACAAGCTGGTGAGAGTCTCTAGATTAACCAACGTTCTTTGCAAGCATAGAGGGGGGTAAGGAATAGTTATGCTCCTATTTGTCATTGGTTACATTAAAATCTAAGTATTTTATTCTCACCGTTCTTTGCAAGCGTGGAGGGGGGTAAGGAATAGTTATGCTCCTATTTGTGATTGGTTACATTAAAATCTAAGTATTTTATTCTCACACATTATCTAGGTCATTACACGAGAAGGGTAGTTTTTAACATCTCAAAATTCTCAAAACCAATTTATCCAGAAAAGTTATCCTTATATTTAAGATTTTCATTTATGAATAATGATTGGAAAACCCACTTTAATTCACATTCCAAACTAAGGCCTAATAGTAGAAAACTATAATTTGCCTAAGAGATTTTTTACTTCATTTCTCTATTGGATCGAATTGGGGTCTTAAAAGAAAACTCTATATTACTTAAAATGATATATATACTTGCGTAGAACTCCTAGTATGTGAAATATAAATCAAATTATAAACATTATAAAGTATTATTTTGCACACTAGCCGCTTAAATATAAATTGGGTCAAGTTTTTGGCCATCTTTCGGAGCTTAAAAATCTACGTAAATGTGGGTTGGGCCAAGTTTTTGGCATCGTTGCCAAGGAAGCAACGGTAAGAACTTTAGGGGAATTTTAGTTGAACCTGTAAGACTTAGATTTGGAAATTATAATAATATTTTATAGTGTGTTTATTTATTATGTGTTTATTTTAATGAAAATTCTAAAATACCGAAAATATTTTTGATATATGTCCTGTTAGTTAAGTTGTTATATTTGTATGCGTAGTTCAGGAGCTGCAGACCTTAAAATTGATGACTCAAATTTGGACAGAACTTTTAGGAAGATTATGAATCAGAAAAGTCTACATGAATTTATGGTAAACATGGCGGATCAACTAAATAAATAAAATATTCAGATTTGAATTATAATAAAAGACCCTCAATTATTAAGTAAAATTTATTTGGACATTGGATTAAAACTGGTCAAGAGATACATTATTCTTATTCCAATTATTATTATTCATGTTGGGAAAATCATTTGAATTTTAACTGGAATAATAATTTTGGAAGTGAAGACAAATTTTGGGAAGATAATTAGTTTAGTTGGACATGTAATTGGAATAATTAGGGTGATTTTAACGATGAACTTTCTTTACCTCATAGATTTAACTTCAACCCACAGAATGAAGAGAACAAGTTCTTATTAGAGAGGTTGTGATTCAAATGACGAGTCAGCTGGAGAGTCATGGGGCCGCAATTAGAAATATAAAAAACTAATTGGGGCAGATTATTAATTTAATTAATAGTTATCGTCCATGGATTTTATCTAGTGACCCTGAGATAACCCTTAAGGAGAAGAATAGTGAGCAAGATAAAACTATCCAACTAAGAAGTGGAAGTGAATTAGAGGATATGGTTGAAAATAACATTGAGTTGAGAAACGAGGAAAAGAAGATTAAAAGGACAATTGAAGAAATTCTTAAGGAATTAGAAAAATCTATTTCAGCAACCACGATAAATATACAAAGACCAACTCCATCATTTCCTCAACACCAAGGGAAAGAACTAGAAGATAACTTAAGACAAAAGAGTAACCTATAATAATTTGATCTAGAATTTGAATCATCTAGAGAAAATCTGATCTAAAATTTGGGAGATCTTAAATCATCATATAGAGATCTATTTTTTATAAATATTAAGAATGAAATTAATATGCAAATTGAGAAAATCATTAGAAGAATATTGGATCTAGAAATAAACTTGAAGAACAATAATTTGAATCGATTTGAAAAGAAAAAAATAACAGAAAAACTGAAATTAACTATATATATAATATAATATATATATTAATATCGAGCGAAAGTTGGAAAAGGTGAATTTCAAACGAAATCAAGGGACCAGTCCTTTGCCACTCATTTAGCCGCTTATATAAATAATATTGAATTTGTCATTAATAAAATTTTCTTATTGTTTAAAATGCATTCTTCATGTTTTGACTAAAATCTTTGTCTTTATTCTTATTAATTTTCGTCGTTTAGGGGAAGCTTCAGCGAAAGTCAGTAGTTGGTACTGGGAAACTTACATGCAGCCGTCAGTCCTCCGTTATCTTTCCTTTCAGTCTCCTATATAAACTTTGACAGCCATTGATGGCCGGACAAACAAGTATTTCATCTTCGGCTTACAATGATCCCAAGACCAATCATCTCCTTCCTCTACCTCATAGGCCTCATCCAATACACCATCTTCTTCCTCCTCTATCGCATTGGTCTCAACCCATCCTTTGAAAGAGAGCCGACACCATGGGAGAATGCGGAGCTCTTATTCTTGTCCCTCGGCATTTCTATGCCTTCGACAACATCTACCGCCCAGTCTCTCAAGAAGAAGCTGCCTGTTATCGAGTACCAAAGATTTCTCAAGAGAAAGAGGAAATCTCCCTTGTTTGAGCCGGCGCCGGATTGTGCTATTTGCCTTCAGTTAATAGAGCCTACGGACCCGGTTCGAGAGCTTGGAAATTGTTGCCATGAATTCCACGGGGCTTGTATGGATGGGTGGTTGGACCTTGGTCGTTTTTGTTGTCCCCTCTGCAGATCAGCGGTGGCTCCGCCCGAGACCATCCTCGGAGGACCACTTTTGATTTTGAAGGTTCTTTTACTTGGGAATGACTTGACACTTGGACGTTGTTGATACTTAGGCGGATTAATTATTCGCAGATGAAATTATTGTTCATAATTTTAGATTTTTGTTGAGAAAAAAAGTTAGTTGATTAAATGGAAAGGTTAATTTTAGATCTTTGTTGAGAAAAAAAGTTAGTTGATTAAATGGAAAGGTTTTTGTGTTTGCTGAGTTTTGTGTAACGTTTTTTTTTTTTTTAATTATTTTCTTATGCATTTTTTTTCAATCCTCCTAGAAAAACATCTTGGCGATATTTCAGACCAACTTAAATTTGTTCCCTTTTCCTTTATCCAAAATTATAATAAATTCTTTCCTGCAAAAATTATATTTTTGGAATGTGAATGGTTAACAATAAATAAATAAAAATATTTGTTTAAATATAAATATGCATATAATAACTAGTAAAAAAATTAGTTCTTAAAATAATCTGCAGTTTTTTTTTTTTTATTAAAAATAAAGATAATTAATCATCTTCTATTTTTATTAAATTTTGTTTCATTTTAAATCATTTGTTTTATCCATCAAAGTAAAATTGCGTCAAAACCATATTATAAATTATTTTTGGAAGAACAATGGAAGTCATTTTATCCGTAGTGCACAATAATTTATTTCTGGCCTTCAATTGGCTTGTGTGGTGAGCACCTAGTATTCACATGCTTTTATGATATCATTTTTTATCTCTTGAGACGAAAGGTGGGTAAAATATTAGAGGGGTTCTGTAACCCCTTAATGAATATTATAGATGGAAGATTTTTTCAGTTAGTAGCTTGGTCTTCATATTGAAAGTTATTTGAAAATGAATATTTTTCTAATTTTATTGAATTTATTTCAAATGCTTGCATCAAAATTGACAGCACGAATCACAAGGAAATCAGATGACTAAGAATGATGGCTCAACAATCAAAGCATTGAATTAAAGAAGCATGATGTGTGTCAGCTATTTCTTTTCTTTGAAAATAAGATTTTAAAATTTAAAATTAATAAAATATATATTGTAATTTTAATTTTGTGAAAATGGTATTCTTTAGTATTTTTTTTTTTTTTGGAAAATGATGAGGCCATATAGATTTCATATATCTAATAGTTTAAATAGCTGAGCACGATACTATAAATAATATATCAACTCGAATGATGAACGTATCACTTATTGGTAGGCTTAACTATCTAAACTTAAGAGTTTATGACTTTATTTTGGTCTGCAAAATTTATAGCCGACAAATTCCCCTATCTAGTACACAGATTAGACAGAGTTTAGATTAATCTGGGTTCTTATTTCCCTATAGAGGCAAGCCCATATACTTAATTACATTTTAGACAACCAAATTCACCTTAGAAAACTCTCTATTAAGATCAGGGTTTCATCTTCAAAAATTCAACATTTGATTCTCCAAGATTGTTTATAGAAAAAGTCAAATTAGATAGGATCAAATATGAACAGTTATTTCCGGAATCTAAATGAGCAAAAAATAGGTGATGTCGAAGATATTGAAGAATATTCAGTGACATCTCAAACTAACCTTTTTTTATTTTAATTAAGTGACTAAAGTGATAAGCTAACATAAGCCATTTATATTCAGGGTTAGGCTCAAACTAGACTTCTTCTTTTTTTCTTGATTTTCCAGGTTACTGATATATCAAAGTCAACCTATCAATATCAATTAGAAGTCTCCAACGAATCACACTTATAGTCGGGCAACCCTAAACCTTATCATTTAATAGACTGGTGAACCCAAATAGTATATGAACTTATTTTGTTAAAAGTATAATGTACTCATGCGAGATAGTAACTGAATTTATTAGGGTGCGGTGCACCTATGCGTGATGTCTAATAGGTGATATGTAGTATCTGAATTTATCGATCAATCGTGTATAGTGTGTAGATGTCTAATAGATGATATTTGTTGCGTAGTATTTAAACTTATCAATTAAAGGTGTGTAGTGTATCTATGTGGGGTGTATGAGATGTATTATTTGGTACGTGGGGTGTTTTAAATTTATCAATCAAGAATGTGATGTATTTATATGAGTTGTATGAAGTGTAATATGTGATATGTGGAGTGTATATGTAAGTGATATCAAATGTTTATATGTGTTAATTAATGTGTGGTGTCTATGGTGTAGTGTCGTATATGTTCTTTTTTTTTTCTTAGCAAGTGTAGTATCTGTGTAAGATCTGTATCATATGTTCTTTTCACAAGTGTAGTATCTATGCGGTATCTATAGTATCTATTCTTTTATAACTACCAGTTCTTAAACATTTTAAGGAAGAGTTAGAGCTACCGATGACTTAAGGAAGTGAAAGGGTATCTTACTAATTGAACATTGATTTTATATTTTCAGCTATAAGAAAAGCAGATTAGTGGTTCGTTGCATCATTGTCTTTTACCCCGCACCTCGAACTTATATGTCACCTCGATGTTTCATATGCTTATCTAATAATTACATAATCCAAACTATAAAGTTTTGGATCTCTCTCTTTTCTATAAGACCAAGCCATAATGTAGTTTACTTGTGTTGTTCTAAAATGTCCAAATTGTGAAACCCAACAAATCTGATTCCAATTTCTTTTTTTTTTTTCAGATTACGAACAAAGGATAAGCTATAGTTCCGCAAAATCTGAAGAAAGACAGGCTGCAATTCTTTCCAAAAAATCCAATAAATAAAGCAAGGCAAACTTAGGCGCAATTGTCCCAAAAGTTCAAACCATAAAATGAAGTACAGCTAGCTGCTTTTCTCCCCAAGAAATCCAAACCATGAAGTAACGAGAGAAAATTAGTTGTTGTTTCCAAATCTGAATCAAACTAACTTTATTTTAATAAAAGAATAACTCATATACCCAACAATCAAATTTTTTTATTCATTTATTTAACACATAATTTTTGCTCTTTACATTTATATCATCCAAATTTTCAAATTTTATCAAAAACACCATCAATTTATCATTTAGCAAGTAGAAAATGCATTTTTATACATGTGTGAAGTAACAAGTATATTAAGATTGAAGTTCATGTGTTGAATATATAAATACTAAAACAAATTGTATGGTATATAAGTGAATCTACTTGATAAAAGAACAGTGAGGAGGATGAGAGCGTCCAAAATTAGCAAACACAGCTTCAGCACATGTAGTGCATAAGAAATTGCTCTTCCAAGCAATTGCCCAGAGATGGCGATGATATATGACAGCAATTCATTGTCATAAATTCAGAATTTAATAATTATGGAATTATGGCAATATCAATCTCAGTGAGTTAATAATATATAAACTCTAATTTCCAACAAAGTGCAATGAAGCTTAACAACAACAAATAAAAGAAAGAATCTCAAATTCCTTCCATCTATAAAGCAAAAATGTAGTGTCATTTCTCTGGTAAGTATTCATGTTCACAGAAGTAGAAATATAAGAGAAAGAAGCCAGATATATTGATTCACAGATTTAAGATCCGAAACTTAAAATTTTTCAATCCAGACATTAATACGGATAAAGAAGTTCTCAAGAAACAAAAAAAATGAATATCGCTTCGATAAAAACCTCATGACTATCTATATAACGATGAAGAAATCCTTATTTGATTATCTATAAAATAATGAGAAAATCCTTACCTCTAAATGCCTCCAGAAAGTTTAAGAGAACATAGAAGCAATAAGCAAAGTTTCCAAACCACGTGAACGAAGCACCCCCAAATGAACTGCCAACCCGAAATTCTTCCTTAACACACGAATAAAAAATCCAACCCCGAAACTCTCCCCGAACAGCTTTCAAAGAGCGTAAAGAAAACTGTAAGCCAAGAAAGAAATCCTCAAATCATCCAAACAAAAAAATGCTAACCCACAATCCTTCCCCAAGGGGGTATTTGTAGGCGAAGATGAGAGAGGGGCTTACCGGCGGTGAGGAGAAACACCCAAAAAAGAATGAAAAGGCCCCAAAATCAAGAGTAGGAAGGTTACTGGATTCAATTGGGCTGGAAAATCTGTTAGAGAAGGGTTACCGACAAATCAACTGGCGGCGAGAGTCGGAAAGAAGGAAGGTGACCGGAAAATTGGCAGGAAGCTTTGAGAATGAGAGAATCGTCGAATGAGGGAGGCGAGGGTTTGGTTAGGGCATGAAGGAAAAAGGCGTGAGTGGGGAAAGAAGCGTAGCTTTTTTTTATTTAATTGAATTTAATAAATAAAAAAATATTATTCTATTCAAAATTTATCAATTTATACACAACTTAATCCAACTCGGAACCCTATCAAGATATATATTCTTTTCAGCTAAAATCGACATTCCGGATGCATTGGAGTGGTCTGTTTCGTCATCCAAGGTCACCCAGACAAGTTCGTCGAATATCGTACCAATTTAACTTTAATTCGCGCGCATCGTCCCAATAGAAGTTATTTTGGTTCAATCGGAGTCGCTTAATGTGCGAATTAATGACCGGTCCTCGCATAAACGACAACCATAGTCCAACATATTGTTCTTGGCAGAAAGTCAAACGTCGAACGTCGTGGGTTCCACCTATATCTTTCAAGTTCCTATAGAAGCTTAATTTGAGCTTCAATATGTCGACTTTTCAATCGACTCTATGTCGACTTTTCAATCGACATCGACTCATTTGGATGTCAAAGATTAAAAACCATCCATATGAGACTTCAAAGAGCAAAGAAATTGCTCGAATTAAGTGGTGTGAGTTCCAGTCTAGTCCTCTAAAAGGGTCAAATAGAAAACCCCAAGGCTAGATTTTAAGGTATGGGAAGATGGAAGAAAAGAAAGACCTCAAAATTGAGTTCAACAATGTGAATTGGTTATCTGAAGACCGATAACTCGATCGAATCAATTGACCTTCAATACTGCTGGATCCAACTGATGGACCATTTTACGGCTCCAATTGCCAAGGATTCCGAAAAGGCCGACCGATCTCGACTAGTTGACTGGTCTATCTTAGCAGAAGCGACCACCATGCAGTAGGTCACTTCGACATACCAAGTTGAAGCATGTTGATCCGCCAATAACTATCGTACCACATTCC